GCTCCGCGGTGCCCTTGCGGCCGCGACGTGCCTTGGACGGTGCGGCGGGGATGGTGGGGAGCGCCGCGGGCTCGTCGTCCGTCTCGGGCTCGGCGGTGGGCTTGCGTCCGCGGCGAATAGTCTTCGCTGGCGCGGGCGCGGGGTCAACGACCATCGCCTCAGCGGGCTCGGGCTCACTCTCCTCGACGGCGGGCGTTGGGGTGGTTTTGCGGGTGCGGCGCGCGGGCTTGGCGGGGGCGGGAGCTGGAGCCGGTGCGTCGACGTCCATACCGTCGTCGGGCTCTGCTGTAGCTTTGCGAGAACGCCTGCCCGTGCTCTCCTTCTCCGCCTCGCGCACAGCGCTCTTCGCACGAGCGGCTTTCTTCGTCTGCTGCAGACAAGTCAGCTACGGCTATGTGACGGCCAGATGAGACGACGTACGACCACCGGCTCCGGCTCAGCCTCGACCTCCTCAGTCTCCTCTACCTCTACGGGCGCTTGCGGCTCCTGCATCACATCACGGTCAGCAAGTACATCGCGGCAAAGACAGACATCCTCACCTCCCGCGGCCGCCCACGCAGCATCCGCGCCTTCGGCACCACACTCTTCTCCTTCTCCCTCTCCGCCTCCCCATCAAACTCGACCCCCACACCCTCCTCCCCTTCCTCCTCCTTCCGCTCGTCGCTCGGCGTGCGCCCCGCCAACGTAAACACGCTATCCCGCCTCCGCTTCAGCCCCTCGACCGTCTCGCGCAAGTTCTCCAACAGACTCCGCGAATCTTGCTCCTCTACCTCCACCCCACTCCCACCACCACCCCCGACCACATCCCCCGCCCTATCCTCCTCCACCCTCCCCAGCTTCTTCGCCTTCACCTTCACAGGCGACATCCCCGGCACGCCCCCCGCAAAGAACGCATCCGGCGCCTTCAGTGCACTGCGCCGCCTCTCCGAGATCGCGCGCCGCTCCTCGTCCGAGATGCGCCCCGGCGCCGCGGGCGTGCCGGTGCCGCGCGCAGGGGCGGCGGGCGCGACGACGAGGTCGCGCACCTTCCACGGCGAGTCCTCGACGCGCACGCGGCGCGCGGCGCCGCCGAGGGAGTAGCGCGGGGCGGCGCCGGTGGGGCGCGGCGCGGCCTGCGGGGTCATGAAGGCGGGGAGCGGGCGCGCGGCGGCGGCGGGCTGGGGCTGGGGCTTGGGGTCTGCGCGCTGCGGCGTGGCAGGGGCCGTGCGCTGCGGCGTGGCATTGCCTGCGCGCTGAGGACTAACAGCCCCTGCGCGCTGGGGCGTCGCCTCCTCTACCTGCTGCACCCCACCATCCTTTACAGGCTTCGGCGTGCTCTCCTGCTTCTTGTCATCCACGCGGTACGCCGCCAGATCCTCATACACCGGCACGTACGCCGCCTCCGCCTCTGCGGGGTCGACATCCATAGGCACGTCCTGCTGTGCACCCTACAATGAATATATTAGCCGTCGAATAGAAACGGAAAGGCAGCACGTACCTCCGCGCCAAGGGACTTGCGCCCGAAGCCGCGCGGTGTGCGCGCGGCGGGGTGCGGGGCGCCGAAGGAGAGCGTGGGGGGCGCGCGCGCGGGGGTCGGTGTCGCTCGTGCTGGGGTCGTTGCCGGTGCGGGGGACGCGCGTGCTGGCGTTGCCACCGCGGGGCGTGGTACTTGCTGTGCGCGGGACGGCGTGTGCGTCTCGGGGGGCGTGGCGTACACCTGCGGGCGAGTCTACGGAGGGGAATGAGTACGACGACGAAGGAGGAGGCAGCGTGCGGGAAAGGAGGGAAGGATGGGCGTGGCGGTGGCATGGGCGGTGAAGAGAGGGAGCGGGTAGGGTGAGGAAAGGATGGTGAGACGGACGGGTAGCGCGAGCGAGAAGGAAGGAAAGAGGGGAGGAAGGGAGGAGTGGAGGAATACGCGTGTTACGAAGATCCTGCAGATGATGAAAGGCGGTGGGTGTATAGAGCGGGGACGGGACGTAGGAGGGAAGGATGTAATGGATGAAAGGGATGTCGGTGGCAGGGAATAGGAAGATGTGGCACGAGCTCGAGGGAAGGGAGTGCGTGGTACGAGGATCCGGCAGAGAATAAGAAGGTGGGGAAGGGATAGAGCGGGGGAGGGACGCGGTGAAAGGAAAGGAAGGGTGATGGACGGGTAGCGCGAACTCGAAGGGAGGGAGGAGTGGAGGAACACGCGTGGTGCGAAGATCCTGGGAGAATAGGAAGGTGGTGGACGGACAGAGTGGAGGAGGGGCGTGGTGGAGAGGAAGGACGGGTGATGGAGGGGTAGAGCGGGGGAAGTCCGCGGTGGAGAGGAAGGAAGGAAGGGGTGGGAGGGGAGGAATATGCGTGGTACGAGGATAAAGAGGCGATGGATGTATGGAGCTGGGGAAGGATGAAGGGGATGAAGGGAGTGGAGGAGGAAAGGATGGGACGGATGGGGGCGAAAGAAAAGGAGGGACAAGTGTAGTGAGAGGGACGTGAGTAGGACGACTACACGTAGTCCGAATCCCGCAAAAGAAGAAAAACACCCACCGAGCTCTGCACCGTCCGCCTTTTCGGCGTCTGCTGCCCCTGCGTCGGGGTCCTCATCTCCGCCTATACATTACCGTCAACGCTACCCCCTCTCACGGAAGACAGAGCACGTACCGCCGGCGTCATCATCTGCACCTCGTCCTCATCCGCCTGCATGCAAGTCAGCTCAATAGGATAGATAGAAAGAGGAGGGGGAGGGACATACGTGGTTCTCGTCCTCGTCATTGCTGTTTTGTCCTTCGTTCTGGATCTCTTCTGTGTCTTCGTTATCGTTGTCACCTTCCTCTTCGCCGGCGGCGGGCACCACCGCCTCCTCCTCCTACCAACCCATCACATCAGCTTTACACCGACGCCCGAAGAAGAGCAACGCACCTCCTTCTTGACGCGCCCTGCGAACGGCCAGAGCGCGATGCGCTCGAGGCTCTTGCGCCACCCGAGGCGCGGCGCTTGGTCTTGGTCTTGTTCTTCTTCCTCGTCATCGCCGCGCACAGGCACCTCCGCGTCCTCCTCGTCAGAGACGTCCGAGCCCGACGACACGCTGACGACCTCCAAGCGCAAGCTGCGCACCTCCTCCTCCTCTTCCTCCGTGTCCGTCTCGTCTTCCTCCGCATCCACATTCTGCTGGCGCTCCGTGGCGCCCCACCCGCGCACGACGGGCCCCGCGCGCGCCGTCGGCGTCGCATTCACACTCGCAGCGGGAGAAGCATTCGCGGAATTAGCAGCCCACACGGCGCGCTGCGCGCTGCGGATGAGCACCGCGCGGTGCAGGCTCTGGCGGCGCGGCGTGCGCGGCTGCTGCGGCGCGCTGTTCGCCGGGCGGCCACGGTCGGCGCTGGGGGAGGGTGCGGGGGCGACCTCGATGTCCTCGAGGATGACGAGGTCGCGCGCCTCCTCGACGACGCGCGGGTGGGAGCCCTGCACGAGGGTGATGTGCTCATCCGTGCTGGCGCGGGGCGGGGTACCGGCTGGGGATGGGGATGGCGGGGAGGCGGGGGCGAAGGGCGCGCGGAAGGGCGACTGGAGGACGCGCAGATTCTGGCGCGGGTCGGGCGAGGGGCAGGGGGAGAAGACTTGGGCGGAGGCGATCATGGAGAGGCGCAGTGCGCGGTTGGCGGGGCCTGCGTCGAGTGTGCATGGTATATAGTATAATTCGGCAGGAAGACGGGGAAAGGTAGAAAAATCGGGCAAAAAGTCAGTGGCATGCGGGGGATTAGAACAAGGGGGTACGCACGGGCAGGGGACGCGGCGAGGGCCGCGCGCATCTCTTTCGGCGGGTACGTGAAGCGAAAGCGCTTCCCATGGATCTCGAGCTCGCTCGCATTCCCCAGCGGGATCGTCTTCGTCTTCCCAGAGCCCTCTTCATGCGGGTACACCAAACAGCCATCAACGAGCAGGCCATGGCTGCCCAGGACCTCCAGAAACGCCTTGCGCGCGTCGTTGAAGACGATGCGCGCGTGGACGGGGGCGACGTCGGGGTAGTACAGGCGCACGCTGCAGGCGGTGTCGCGGCCGAAGGAGACCGTGGCGGTGTCGACGCCGAAGGAGGTTACGACGTCCGCAGTGGGGTTCTGACGTAGCAGTTGGATGGTGCCGTAGCGGCCGGGCGAATCCAGCGGTGAGCTCATGGTGAGAGGCAAGTTGCAGGATCAACTTGTTGTGGTTTGTTGACGCGTTGCTCACGTGACCGGCGCGTCCCTTTGTTGACGCGCTTAACGAGCGGGCTTCATTCAATTCCACGGCAGTAATTCGCGTCAATTTTTCGGGTTGGATTATATGTCTATGCCGTGGATTTACAATCTGAATCCTGGTTCATGAAGCTAGCCGTGGAAGCCAGACGGTTAATCCACAATTTCCCATTGAAGACAACACACCCAGGCTTCGAGGGAATTCAGAAAAAACATTATGCTACCTTCAGCAGTGCCCTCGGGGGATTCGAACCCCGGCGCCGACTCGGTACATCATGACCACTGGTCGAGCAAACATCGTCGGTGATCTCCATTGATCAACGAGGGCTTTCTATACCCAATTCCCAACCCAACTACGGACATCGAACAGGGAAAGATAGGCCGGAGTGAAAAGGTGGAGAAAAAATGTCTCAGTGGCACACTATGCCTTCGGGGGGAGTCGAACCCCCGCCACCCACCCAGAGTATAATTGCTGCACGCCAATGTGTGTGGGCGATCTCCATTGATCAACAAGGGCTTTCTATACCCAATTCCCAACCCGACTACGGACATCGAACAGGGAAAGATAGGCCGGAGTGAAAAGGTGGAGAAAAAATGTCTCAGTGGCACACTATGCCTTCGGGGGGAGTCGAACCCCCTCCGCCCACCCAGAGTATAAGTACTGAACGCCAATGTGTGTGGGTGATCTCCATGATCAACGAAGGCTTTCTATACCCAATTCCCAACCCGACTATGGACATCGAACAGGCAAAGATGTGCCGGAGTGAAAAGGTGGAGAAAAAATGTCATGGCACTCCATTATGCCTTCGGGGGGAGTCGAACCCCCTCCGCCCACCCAGAGTATAACTGTTGCTCCCCAATGTGTGTGGGCGATCTCCATTGATCAACGAAGGCGTTCTAGACCCAATTCCCAACCCTACTATGTACATCGAACAGGGAACGATACGCCGGAGTGAAAAGGTGGAGAAAAAATGTCATGGCACTCCATTATGCCTTCGGGGGGAGTCGAATCCGCCCACCCAGAGTATAACTGTTGTCCGCCAATATTAATGTGTGTGGGGGATCTCCATTGATCAACGAAGGCTTTCTATACCCAATTCCCAACCCGACTATGGACATCGAACAGGGAAAGATATCCCGGAGTGAAAAGGTGGAGAAAAAATGTCATGGCACTCCATTATGCCTTCGGAGGGAATCGAACCCCCTCCGCCCACCCAGAGTATAACTGTTGTCCGCCAATGTGTGTGGGTGATCTCCATTGATCAACGAGGGCTTTCTATACCCAATTCTCAACCCAACTATGAACATCGAACAGGGAACGATATGCCGGAGTGAAAAGGTGGAGAAAAAGTAGTCCCTGGTCTGTCATGCCTTCGGGGGGAGTCGAACCCCCTCCGCCCACCCAGAGTATAATTGCTGCTCGCCAATGTGTGTGGGTGATCTCCATCGATCAACGAGGGCTTTCTATACTCAATTCTCAACCCGAGTATGGTCGAACAGGGAAAGATATGCCGGAGTGAAAAGGTGGAGAAAAAATGGCACAGTGGTCAACCATGCCTTCGGGGGGAGTCGAACCCCCGCCACCCACTACTACTGTCTAAATTTATATCAACAGTTTGTGTGGGGGATCTCCATTGATCAACGAGGGCTCTCCTACCTAGAATGCGACCAAAATAAACAGAATGGGTTTGAGTGATGCAAGAAGGCAAAATTCAGAAATACAGAGGAAGGAAAAAGCCGGATGGCGACGAACAAGGCCTCGGGGGAATTGAACCCACTGCCAACCATTCGTCATCCTTGGGATGGTTTGTGTGAGTGGTCTCCGTTGATCAACGAGGGCTTCATACACCTAGAATGCAACCCGAGTTCATCGCACAGAAAGCAGGCCCGAGTAAAAGTGTAACTGAACAATGACCCATACCCCTCGGAGGGGCTTCGAACCCCATGATCATTCCATACAGCGTGTAATCAATATTATGTGTGGGTGACCTCCATTGGTCGACGAGGGCTTCACTACCTAGAATGCAACCAAAATAAATAGAGTGGATTTGAGTGCTCCACGGAAGGAAATTTTCTCTTCTTCGGCCCAGGGCCTCCGGGCTCCGCCCACTGGTTGCTCCGTGGCCATTTCCGGAACCAATCGACGTAGGTGATCTCCTGAATCATTGATCGACGAAGGGTTTTAGCCTTTTGTCCCCTTTTCCAGCGACCGCCTTACTAAACCATTATCCATTTTCATCAAGACGAGCAGGTGATGCAGTTTTCAGTCTCGTTAACACCCTGCTCTCCGTCGAAGCGAACAGCTTCAAACTCCAACTACACATTCAGGGATATCCCATGATTCCCAACGTCGGCGCCGTGATCGGTGTGATCCAAGAGAGTGATTCGCTGCACGAGCTAGTTAGAAAAGAAGCTTCTCTGCTAGTTCTCACTATGATAAGTTACCATGTTCTACGTAGTAAACTGGCAGTTCCAATTGTGGGGACCGCGCCAGTATAATTTCCTTCTCCTCCTCCTCCTCCATGGGACCAAATGACAGTTGATTGTCCACCGCGATATGGAGAATAGAAATTGGACTGTGTACGAGACTAATCCAGATGTATATCAAGAGTAAGACTGGGCTGTGTACGAGGCTAGCCAGATGGGTAGTAAATTGGACTGGGCCCGACTAACTGGATGGGAGTAAATTCGATATCAAGAATAGAACTGTCCCATGCATATACCCTTGATCCTCATGCGGTGATTGGATGCGTCCGATTGTAACGGTAAGCGACAACATCCCCAAACACGCTCGTATATTTAAAGGGGTAGGGGAATGCCGCGGTTGCTCCCACATTCACCCCTTGACCTACAACAAAGCTCATATCCCCACGCACCAACGACCATGTTCGCTGTCCGTGTTCTCCTTAGGTGTCTCTCGTCCTAGTCGCCGACACTGACCATTCTTAGCAGACCATCCAAATCCCCATCTCTCAGAACAGCTGTGGCAACAGCAGTTGCAACTGCGGCGATTCGTGAGTCCTTGGTCAGCGCAAGTGTATTGAGTGAACTGAACTCTTGTCTAGATGCCAATGCAAGATCGGCGAGTGCAAGTGTTGATCGTTATACCGCCTGATGACCGGATATCCGCCGTTGTTGTTGGCCCAATTGTAATTCATTGTTTTTCCCATAATTTATGATTACACTCGGGTTTGGTGAGCAACAGTGTTCCCCATCCGGACGCACCACGAGAATCGAATCCGGATCTACTACCTTACTTAGAGACTAAGATTGGCATCCTGTAGAATTCTGTAAGGATAACCACCCTCTACAGTACTACATGTTTGTCTTCCGCAAACTTGTTGCTCAGCCTATGGACCACGCGAGTATAATATACCCCCCCCGCGCCCCCTAAGGTCATAATCTACGTGGGCGATCTCCGTTGATCAACGAGGGCTTTGGGCACCCACATTTTCACCCGGTGATAAAGAGCAGATTGGGGCACGCCGCCAGACTCCGAATCCGGAGTAAATCTAAAGCTAGGGATAACAAAATTGCACATGTCCCAGCTTCGAGATCCACAATTGATATGCCCGCCATCATCTCCACCAGACTAGTAGGATATAGACAAGTATTGCGGGAGAAAAACCTTGGACACCGTTAACTACGTCAGGGGAATTCGAACCCCCACTGCCCACGGTCTGGTGATTTGGACCCAGCAATTAAGCAGCGTGATGACCTCCATTGATCAACGACGGCTTCACATACCTAATTTCAGCCGAAATATATAGGATGGATTTGAGCGATGCAAGAGGTACCCGAGTACACGAGAGTCGTACGGCGACACCCTAGGGGGATTCGTGCCTTCATCAATTAATTTTGAACGCCGTCTGCCCATTGATAACTCCGAAATCAGTCGTATTTCTCGTACATAGTTGTGCCCCACCGATCCCAGAATTCAATACACCACACCACACCCGACTTCGAGGTATGTCAGAAAAAGAACTGCGACATCTCTTCGAGAGTGCCCTCGGGGGATTCGAACCCCGGCGCCGACTCGGTATATATGTACGTGTCAATGCCATACCTCGAAACGGAGGTCGGTGATCTCCATTGATCGACGAGGGCTTTCTCTATCCAGAATGCAACCTGGATTAATAACGCAGATCTGGGAAAGCAAGCCCGAGGAAAAGAACAACGTTGCAAACGCCCCATGCCTTCGGGGGGATTCGAACCCGCCGCCCAACCTCAGTCTACTCTCTCAACAGGAAAGCAGTAATCGGTGTGAGTGATCCCCATTGATCACCAAGGGCGTCATGTACCTACAATTCAACCGAAACACATGAGACGGATTTGAGGATGCAAGGAGGAAAAAAATCTTTCATCCCGGAATCAAACTCAACCCTTGTGTTGACTGACATCGATATGGGAGGTCTGAATCTCCATTAATCAAAGAGGACTCATTACCCTCATTACCAACCACGCCACATTTTACATTGCCACAGGGGAAGACAAGCCAGAATAAAAAGGAGTGTGATCCACACCACATGCCCTCGGAAGGATTCGAGCCCCTGCCCTCCAAGCTGAGATTTGAAACCCACCAAGTGGTGTGGGTGATCTCCAATGATCAACTCGGAGGGTTTTGCATCCCTACACTCCAGCTTGCCTCACAACCTGGATGTGGGACAGGAAGAAAGGCAAAAGAACATCTGATCTCGCCATGCCTTCGGGGGGAGTCGAACCCCCTCTACCCACTCTATCCAATCAAAAGCGATTAGTTTGTGTGGGTGATCTCCATTGATCAACGAGGGCTTCATATACCCCTCAGCCCAGGTCACATCAGCCAGAATGAGGCAGGCCAGAGTAAAAAGGTGGAATTAAGCATGCCCGCGGCCCTACATCTATTCGTCGAGCTTCAAGGTGCGCAATCGACGTGCTCTCCGCTGCTCAGTTACATCTCAACCAAACTAATAGGATGGAATTAGGCAACTCAAGTATGTGGAGGAAAAAACCTCACCATGGCCTTGACGGGATTCGAAGCCCCTGTCATTTAATCAGCGTGGGTGATCTCTAATGGTCGACAAGGGCTCCTTATGCTCATTCTCGGATAAATGGGTGATTTCTTGAGTGCAGGTGGGCAATGTGAGGAACAAAAAAAGGCTGTATCTCGCACTTCACGGCCTTCTGGGGATTCGAACCTACTCCCCACTGTTCGTCATCGTTGCGATACTTAGTTTGTGGCTGATCTCCATAATCAACGAGAGCCTTCTCTATCTAACTTACCCTGAGTAAATGGAAATACATAAACGGACGGGCTAAAAAAAAAAAAAAGGGTCTGTTGAATTCAACTCCCATGTCCCTCGGGGGGAATCGAACCCCCTCTGTCCACCGTATCTGCTGGACCTTCTATATAATGAGTGTGGGTGATCTCCATTGATCAACGAGGGCTTATGACCCTCGATTCTCAACCAGAGTTCATATGGATGTCAAATTTGAACTCATCCAGACCTTCAGTGCCAGAAAAATTATCCCGAGTCCGAGGAAAAATCCGAAGAAGACCAGACACAGACCAGGATACGGTCCGTCAAATGGGAAGGAAAGTGACTATGGGCCTGATTATGATCAATGTGAGGTACCTTTAAATCAAAATGCGGTGTTCTTTCGCTTGACGCTGTTTGGCGCCTCGTGATCGCTTCATTGTCTCTAAGCTTGCACTCATTCTGGCCGTTCCGACGTGCTCCCTAGTCCCTTCTGGCGCCGAATTTAGTGGTTCTTGAGATACCGTTTTGCCATACTCTGCGCCAGCCTTCCCTTCGAACTGCAACGGCATATTTTCGACACTCGCGCTCAGTATCATTTCTTGACGCCGCCTCTGATATATTGAACACGTTGCAGTATACCCATGGCGCGCCATT